GTTTTTCCCAGTCTACTGATAAGTTGAAATCGCCAGAATCACAGTTTCACGTTCAGTACTTATGAAGGTGGCAAGCAACTCAATGAGATTCTCGTCATCACTGATCAGAAAATCGGGAGGGCGGTATTCTATAACAAATCGAAGAGGGAGTGTTCGTATTGGGGTAGTATATCAACGCACAGTACATCAGCTTTGCAGCGAATGTCGTGACGTACGATTCGTGAGGTAAGTGTATTCTTGATAACACAACAAACTCCACCACCTCTCTTATCATTCCTATCCAACCGTACTACATCATACGGTAGATGGGATGATACTTCAGAATTCTTGATCTTACATGTTAACCAAGTCTCCGTAACAAGCAATAGGTCAGGTTCATTTTTTGAAAGAAACAGCTGGAGGTGGTTGAGTTTGTTCACTAGACTTTCCAGCGTTGAGTAAAGTGCAGAAAAGGGGGACAGGAGCACCTAGCATACTATGGTTAGAATCAGATTCAGGGTTACTTTGCCTCTTGCTATCAGGGGCATCGCAAGATGAATGGGAATGAAGGTGATGCTGGACATTACTAACCGAGTAGTGAGAATCGAGTAATCTAGATGAAGATGACACTGTAGTACCATGCATACTCAAGTTTTCCAATCTTCCCCGGGGAAGATCTGAGACTTTTCTGAGTTGCCCACGGTACCCCATTCACGACTGCTTTTGCCTTTAATTTCTTTCACGCGCTAGTTGTCTCAGTTCATAGTCATTCTTTCTTTCCTCTGCGGTCATACTTTTGCGAACAAAAACATTAGCGTAGCCTGACCCTCGGAGCAGCCTAGCATTAGCTAAAGCCTTACGCCAATGAGATTGCGACGGTAGTACAACTTTGATTAAGCGCGGTCTTTTGGGGTCGATTTTACCAATCCTGAAAGCTTCTGTGGGTCTGCACTCAACATTAAGAACGTCGAGAATCTCAGAGACCTTCTTTTCAACATCGCTTTGCCGTTCAGATGGGGCTAGGTTTTCAGGGGACTCACTGATGCCAGATATAACAATGCTCCTGCATCTTTTTTCGGACTCTATGTGATGAGAATTTCCCTGGTATTTTATCTGACAGAACAGTGAGCATGGGCGCTAAAACAGGATATTTGTTCCGCTAAAGTATACATTTGATTAAGTCAGCAGATGTCATATTTGCATACTCTTTTGAACGGATTTTACTAGGTTTGCATGTGTCCAAAAGGAGGAGAGGGTAGAGACTGTCCATGTGGTCGCCGCATTCATTCTTTGCGACTAGACGGGTATCGAGAAACCCAGTGAACGCGCGAGTCGACCACGGTACAGCATTGCTGCTGACAGTGGACACTCCCCCTCCCACCTCTGATTGAGAACAGTTTTCTTGGAAGGAAACTGGGCAATTTCTGGAAAATCGGGAAAAGTGGTGGGCAATTGGGGAAATGTAGGGAGATGGTGGAAGGACTAAACGGGAGAGGGGGGTGTCGTCCTCGCAATGTCGTTTCACGCTTGCGCTGTACTGTATACCCTTTCTGGGACCAAGAGTGCTCACCTCTAATCGCTGGACTGACATCCAAAGCAGAGATAAGGTTCCATTCAACGTGAGTGCTGCAGCAGTCCAACGACTAACGGTTGATCAATTACAGTCACGCGTTCCCGAGGTCACGTGACTAAACGCTGGAATAGGGACATATGAAGGCAGCCCAAGAAAAGAAGGTCAGCGCGAGAAATGTTGACAGAGTGACAATAGTTACTCTAGATTGGCAACTGCTCCCACGTGAACAGCAGTTAGTGTCAGAGGTATTAAAGTGCTCTTTTGAGCGGACGCTGGTGCATTTTAAAGGCAGCGCCCGCGTTCATTTGTTGTTCTCACGCCCTCTCTGGATCTAGTAGCTCCCCCTATGAGGATGGTGGACGTGCATGTTTCGCAACCCAAAAATGCGACGGAACAGCGGCGTCCGCCCGCAAAGAGCCGACGGCTCCGCCCACCTGCCGACCACGCCACCCAACTTCATTTCTAATGGTTGCCTGATGGTGCGGTTGTTCCATTGCTGCTTCTCTCCACGTGGAGTGGTGAGAGTGAGGTGATAAGGGAAAACAGCTGATATGAACAAGTGGAAACTCGTGCAATCACTCCTTCTCTTCGCCTTAAGCACGTACAACCGTTGTTCGGTATGAAACTCCTTCTAGGGCATTTTGCGTGTTTTCTGTTGATTTTTCTTCACTAATAGGCTTCTTGCTACCTCGCTGTTACTACCTGAGCCGCATACTCATTAAATTTGAACGCGGGCGCTGCCTTTAAGGGGGCTAAATTTGACACTGCACCTCCCTCTTCTCCACCATTTGTGATCACCTGCCAGCTTTCAAAGTTGGTGGGGAATTTGCCGTCGGCGTGCCAAAACCAGATTCAGTCTCTGAAACACCTCGGCTTTCACAGCGGAAAAGGGCTATGTATTTATTTCGAGGAGGCCTTTCGCACCAGATTGATCATTTTGCAGAAGATCCTAGAAAACCTTTTTACGTCTTATAATACTTACTGATTACAGGACTCAGTCGGCTATCCAGTGAATGTTCAAGTGGCCGCTCCACCATACAGAGAAGAAATTGTTCTGCGTCTCTTGAGAGACATTGAAATCGCCGTCACTGGAAAATAACTCGTGCTTACTGCCTCACTTAACTACCTCATTTCTACAAAAATTCTTTACTCTATGCTTTATTCACTTACCTGTTTACCTCACCGCATAATTCTTGTAAACCACTTTCAGTTGCTATCATTTTCTAGGTGTATTTCGCTTTATGATTATTACCCAATTATAATCTAAGAAGCTGCTTGAACTTGCTCTGGGAATTGTTTATGAGAGAATGAC